GAGGGGTGGTGGGGGCGGGCTGCAGCTGCGGGCGCTCGGCAGCGGGACGAATGTGACGTGGGCATCCTGACGCACGGGGGCAGGGGCGCCCGTGGGGTCCGTGCGGTTCGGGGGCTCGGGCTCCTCCACGAGAACTGCAGGAGAACCGGTAATGAAACACCCAAGCCAAAACCATGGCCCGGACAGAAATACGTGTTTAAAATTTAAATATCTCCAAAAATTCCTTACTTGTTTTAAGAAAATTTTACACCGTTAGATGATCAAAAAGACAAGTATGTTATCCCCAGTACGAGCACAATGTTGTCGAAAGAAAATCACAAAACGAGACGTATCAAATTTAGTAAAGAATGGTGAATTCCACATTTTGAAGATTTTTATCTAATTTGTCGTATCAATAAGTTACGGTATGTTTCAGTCTTGCGTTGGTTTTGGCTTCAGCTCCTGTGTCAGCGCAGCGATCGGTACGTTACGTCGGCGGCCCGCAAGAGCCCCTAGGAGGTAGGCAGACCCGCGGTGGCAGGGTGTCGTGCAGTGTGGCATACCCTACTAAGAGTCGTAGGGGATCTCGATGGAGCGGGGGTCGGACGTCGGACTCAAGAGCACATCCCCTTCTCCGCTGACAACGTTATGCGCAAGGAGTTTCAGTACCCAAAGTCAATTGCGTTTGTCTTGATTCCAAAAAACGTCCATTTACCAAAGTTCATGGAGTTCAAAATTCGAAAACAAGAACGCAATTTTCTGTGTGTGTGAGGAATCTGGGATGTGCTTGCTTAGAAGTGCCTTCAGTTCGCAGTCAGCGGATAAGGCGTGTAGTGGGTGTGCTTTTGTGGCCGAGACTGTCGATAGTCGGTCCGGGTTCAACTGAGCAAACTGTCGATCGAATTACAGGTGTAATGTGCCCGGTCGATTTGGGGTCGATTAAATAGAGTGATTAGGAATAGGGGCCAATGATTCTCGTCGTCATTCCTACAGTAAAAATTGGTCAAGTTTTCCAAAACGTCTCAACTGCTACCTGCTGAGCGATACGTACTGAATATGCTGTCGCGTCGACCCGGGCCCGCGTCGAGGCCGGCGCCTAGGCCCGCCCCCATCCCCAGGAGGCTCCCTCCGATGGACTGGGTCCGGGAGCGCGCGTTGGACGGCGGCCAGGGCCAGGGCGAGGTGACGGGGTCGTAGCTGGGAGAGCGCCTCTTCTCCACGGGCGGAGGCTCGGCGTCGTCTGGCTCTGAGTCGGGAGGCTGCAGGGAGCGCCGCCGCCGGGCGAGGTCCTTGAGCCGCTGTGGGATGGCCAAGCGCTGCATCAGGCTGCTCACCGACGTCCGTGGAACCGGCCCTGCCAAGCCTGAAAGAATAAGAATATGAAGAGGAATAGGAATAGTGATATGAAAAGTGATAGGAATAGTTATAGGTATAAGAAGGTAGGGATAGGAATAGAAATAGTGATAGGAATGATAATAGGGATAGGGATAGGAATAAGGGATAGGGTTAGGGAAAGGAATAGAAATAAGAAAAATAAATAAAATACGAGTAAGCTCGGAGACGACGGCATGCTGCACTCACCCGTCTCCGCAGCGCCCGTCGACATGGTCCTGGCTCGCAGGCGCTTCTCCTTCTGCCGGCTCTCCTTGGCGATCTGCCGCATCTCCTCGTGGGCCCGCATGCGCTCGAAGTCGTGGAGTTCCTGGAGGCGCCTGTCTTGCCGCTGCTGCTTGCGGTTCACGGCCTCGGACTTGCGCCTGGCGGCCAGAGACGGACAGGGTCAGAGCAGAGGCGCAACGCGCGACCGCGTGTTCGGGAGGCACCGGGCCCGCTAGCGGTTGTATTCATTTGTGGAGACAAACAGTGAGGTGCGGCGGAAGGGATCACCCAGAAAGTTTGCCCGTCATTTGAAACTTGTCATGTTCTGCTTCTGCAAGCTCGCATAGCGCCTGGTAGGTAGGCAATATCTTGCCTGCATTGCATGTGTGTAGCGCGGGGTGGCCTACCCCGAGTCTCGCAGGCGCCGAGCTCCCGTAATTTGTTGAATGGATCAAATCAGGGAAACGGACGTACTTCCTCGACGACCGCACATGAATCAGAGTAAAAAGGAGTAATCTCTGGAAGATCCCCAAGCACGCCCGTTTTTCTCAAAATTCCTTCGGTAGATTGCGGGAGCTTGACGCCTGTGAAACTCGGGATAGGCCACCCCGCAGTACACGCATGCACTGCAGCCATGATATTGCCTACCTACCAGGCGCTCCGAAAGCTGGCATGAGATCGAGGATCGGCTGAAATTGGCAGTTACGTAACACCTTTAGGATTTAGATGATCTTACACTGTCAAAAATATCGTCGTAAATTAACAAAAAAATGCAAACTTGAATTATAATTGAAGTTGTAAATTTACGAGAGCACATTTTTTCTAATCGCCAATGGATTTCAAGTCGATACGTACTGCATGTATTTTTACGATTGCCAATCGTTATTGTACAACTTGCCTCAAGTAATTTTTCTCTGTAAACCTTCCTACTATTTTTTCCGGTGTAAAAGGGGAAAAGGCGAGTCAAATCTATCTCTATACAATCACCAGAGGGCACCCGTCTTGGATTATTTGTGCGCGACTGAGATTTATTCGTCAGTTGTAATATTAGAGTTTAACCTGATGGAATTTCGCGTGAAATGTTTATTATGTGTGCGCATTATTAATAACTTTGCGCGTGACTTTTACTTTGGCTGCCTGTGGTACGCGGCCCCTTGCCTTCCGTTCCATGTGTAAGCGAGTGCAAGGCATGGTGCTGCATGGCGAGGCAGGGTGATGCCCACCACCTCTTCCGTGCTCCGTGCTATGAATTTCATTTCCCCCTTTTTTCGGGAGGGGCAACGTCCTACCTATGATTTCAACACTTGTGAAAGACCCAACCGTGTCCGATAACCACGTCCAAACCACTGGACGGGCGTTTCTTTGGGAGGTTTTGTGCAAATTACTATACGGAGCTAGTTTAGAAATCTTCGAACGGGTCCACTAAGAAGAAAATACATGCTGCAATTTTTCAATTTTGCGAATCGGACGGTTGGTTAGGTCTGTTATCATCTGTGAATCACGACAGTTGGCATTTCGATGGCTTGCCTCATCGGGTTAGTTCTCCTGGAACGGAAATGGCGGATTTTATAGGGCACAAGCCCTAACGGGAGGGACCTTACAGAGCAGGCATTGACTCCCGACTTCTTCTCCCTCCGAGGTCGTACGCGGGCGCCTGGACGCACCTGTTCTGGCGGGAGCGAATCAGCTCGTGAACGCGTTTGGAGGCGCCCGCCCCGGACCACGTCCACTCGGCGTTGTTCGGCGTGCCGTCCTGCTCCTGGCCAGCCTCGTCGGCCGGGAGGGTCGAGCTGTCGTCCGGGTCCCAGGCGTCGTCGCCCTGACCGCGACCTTGGCCGCCGTAGCGGTAGTGAGCCTCGGCCAGTGCGTCCGTGGCGGCCGTGAAGGGCGCCAGGCTCTTGGCGCGCTGCCTCGTGAGCCGCTGCTGCTGCGACCACTCGCTGCTCAGGATGTCGGCGTCCGGGAAGCCCTGGTACCCTCCGTACGGCAGCGCCGTCCCGGGGGCCATGTGCTGCAACCGGAGCGCACCGTCAGCCTCCGCAACGCCCTACCAACGCCCCAACGCCCACCACCGTCCTGGACTCACCATCGTGCTGTACACCTCGTCGTTGCTCACCCCGCCGCCCCAGTTGACGAGGGCGTTCATGAACTCGTGCAGCAGCTCGGCCGGGTCGAGCGTGTTGTCGGTGGGCGCGGACGTGTCGGCGAAGGTGGCGCGCCGGTCGATCCTGCCCAGCTCGGTCTCGGAGCGGCGCCGCACCAGCAGCCGGCCCGGCAGCACCTCGGACAGCGCGCGCGGACGGCAGCCGGCCGCGGCCCGCGAGCTGCGGCGGTACCCGGCGCCCGGCAGGCCAACCACCACCGGGAAAGGGTGCGCGGCCTTGGAGTAGCCGTCGTCCAGCCAGAAGAGGTCCGGGCACGACGAGCACCTCTCACCCATGTTCAGCGAGCACAGGCTGTCGTCGTCGTCGTGGTACACCGGCTGCGGGCCCGAGCACGGCGTCAGTCAGCACCACCACAGTACCGCCTCGCGGTGCACCAGCACGTCACCCACCTTGACCTTGAGCAGGTACAGCTCGTTGAGCACCCTGCGCATGAGGTGCGGCATCTCGTGCACCATGCCGTTCCACAGCTTGGTCTGCGTCACCTTGATGGTGCTGGACAACTTGGCCATCCGCTTGGAGCGCATCGCGTCCGTGATGAAGCCCAGCACCATGAAGAGGTAGCCGAGACCGAACACGAGCCACACGATGAGGAACACCTTGTAGAGAATGTAGCTGACGTCAGTTTTGTACGGATCCTGGCCTAAGAGGAGAAGAGACGTCAGCTGTCAGCTATGACTCTCCAAATCCCGATCAGCGGGTGTCCGGTTTGGTGGGGTAGAGACATGGTATCCGGTTTAGCATGCACCCAGAAAAGTCGATACTTGATTTGAGTTCCGGTGCTTGACAAGTTGAGGCCAGGTACTTGTTTTGAGAAAATTTTACTCATTTTGATCTGAATTTTTCTTAAACCATGGCCTCTCCTGGGCCTCAACTTGTCAAGTACTAGGACTCAAATCAAGCATCCACTTTTCTGGGTGTGGTAGGGAGGGGGAGGAACCGGGATTCTGGTTTAGCATGGTAGAGACCGGGGTCGACCGGTGGACACCGGTATAATACCTACCAGCCACGAGGTCGCCGAAGCCGATGGTGGTGAGGCTGACGAAGGCATAGTAGATGGCCTCGTCGAACGCCCAGCCTTCAAAGTACATGAAGAGGAACGAAGGGCTGATGATGAAGACGAAGAAGCCGAGGCAGAAGTACATGAGGATGCTGCCCGCCAGGCTCATACCATCGTGCCGGTGCGCTCGGTACTTGTCTCGCGCACGAAGGAACTGCAGGTCAGAGAGAGAGAGACAGAGAGTGGCGTCAGGACTCGGCCGCTGCGCCGTTGGAGAAGCGCTTGTGTATGACGAACTCACGAAGTGTCCGAAGTAGTCGGCGAGGCTTTTGAGGAGGATACCGTTCATGGGTATCCCCACGAGCGCGTAAAGGATCATGAGGAGCCGTGAGAGGGTGGTCGTCGGGGCCAGGTTGCCGTATCCTATCAGAGAGGGGCGTGAAGGTGTGAGTGAGGGCGGATTCATTTGAGTCTCCAGATGGAGACGTTGTTGCGGAGAATGCGGAGAATTGGCGACAAAGTTAAACTTATTAGTATAGCATGTTTTCTCTAGATATATAACCTTACCTCTCTAGTCCTTTGCAAAAGCCAATGGAGTGGCAGCGTGGACACAGAAAAAATTGCTATAATATGTATGATCACTCTAAATCTCCTTGATTCGCTCAGAGTTCTAATTGCTACAGTTGTTGATGCAAAGATATCAATAGTGTTATATACCTATGGTGCTAACCACTGTAATGACGAAGAACACGGCGTTGTAAAAGTGCCATTTGTAAGGGTCGGCTCTGTTGGGGTCCACGTTGAACGACTTGCCGCAGTAGTCTTGCAGCAGATGAAGGATATCCTCAAAGGTCCTGTTGTCGAGGCTGTTATTAAGTTTCGCTGCAAAAGAATGAAACATCATCATCAGTGAAATGTAATACCTCGGCGGCCAGACACTGAAGACAGAAATGACAAAGAAGCAGAAGCATGTGGCCGTCGCAGACGCAGTCCCAGACACGGGCCGGTGGGCCGGGCCCGGGCAGAGGACGGCGCACACGGGCGGTGGAGGGACGGGGCCGCCGCGGAGGCTGTGCGTTGACGTTGACCTCCCCAACCCCGCCGCCGCCGAGCCGCCGCCGAGCCGCCGCCGCCGCGCCGCCCTGGTCATCGCGTTGTGCAAATGAGGCGCGGTCGGGCTGATGTCCACGGGGACCCGCGGTGCTGCTGCGGGGCGCGCCGTGGCATGGTGCGGGGTGTTAGCGTCGCTGTCACAACGCCAAGGCTCGCCGGCGCGCCTCGCACTCCCGCCGCCGCCGCTGCGGCACCGCCGGGCACCGATACCACGCGGACCACGGCCACCGCCTTGGATTCGGTCCATAATGCGCACTTTGGCACACGCGCCCGAGCGTGCGGTGAGCCCCGCGCGTCACGGGGCGAAAGTGATACCGTTTCCTCCAGGATGGCCGGCTGGCCGGCGGGCAGCCGCACAAGAGGAGTTAGCTCTCCGGAAGGTCCACGTGCGACGAGACGGAAAGGGGCAATGGTGCATTTTAGAGGGGCAGGCTGGGCGGGGAGGAGGCGGGGCGAGCGGCGCGGAGGCAGTGCGTCATGTGTGTCGCGAAGCGAGGCCCCCGCAGATAAATGTTCTCCAGGACGCGCGCGTGCAAGGGAAGGTCGAGGTTCGGTGCGTTCAGGTCTCTCCGCATCCACTGGACGGCCTGGTGCGCGCGCGCGCATCGCGACCTTTCGCAGACTGGTACCGGAGGGAGGAAAGGGAAGGGACCGGGGGGAGTGGAGGGGGGGGGGACAAACGGCGACAAGCCAACTTACTGACGATCTCCTCCTCAGTCCGGCGCTCCTGCTCCAGGTGCTTGATCTCCCTGGCCTGCTCGATGTAGTGGAAGACGGCGGCGCCCAGCATGAGGTAGGCGAGGAAGAGGAGCAGCAGCACCAGGAACTGCTTGCCCGACATGTTGGCGGCGGCGGCGGCAGCGGCACACGGTCATCGGCTGCGGGCAGGATAGAGACGTATGAGCGCGGGTCACGCCGCCGTCACCTTCTCCGCGTCTTGAGTCGCATCTTCATCACTGACCCACAGCGATGCTCACGGGGCGGTCGCGGCGGCCCTCCGAAACCAAACACCCCAACGAACGCGCGCCGCGCCCACCGCACGGGGGCGCCGCCACGGCGCCGGCCATGCAGCGCGCGACCGCAGCCGTGCGGTGGGCGCGCGAGGAGACGGACGGCCCATCCCGCCACGTCAAACGGGGTGACGGCGGCGTCTAGTCTTCGTCACGCGCGCGCGGTTTTTCATGTAATACTACTTCAAGTGGTTTATGGGCTTCTTGCACGGGGAGGGGCTTTTGTTCTGTCACCACAAGGCGCTACTGCGGGGGCCTCTGATAAAAAGTAGCGAACAGGAAATGCGATCCGCCCGCCCGCTCCGGCCGCGGCTGCTCGTCCCTCTCACAGTGTAGCGCGGGGCCGCGCGGCCATGGGCTGGGCTGGGGACGTGGACAGGTCAGTTGAGCTGGCATGGAGTCCGCGAGGATGCCACCGGGAATAATACATGACGCTGCCTCAGCTGCAAGTGGAAGGGGTGGTGGTGGTAGCAGTGTTGGTTCGGAGCGTTGGACGGTGAAAAGTTGTATCGGCGGCGGCTGGGCTGTGAACTAAACGGCTGCAAACACCACCGGGGCTCGAGGAGGAAGTCGAGACGGCGGAGGGTCGGATAAAGAGATATTGGTTTTTCGCTCGGCTCGGACCCAGTGGACTGGTACTGGTCAGGGAGGTGAGGAGAGCCGACGGTGATGGAGAACGACTGGAACGAGACAGGCAACCAAAATAAAGAAACGTGCGGGAGAAAACACACCATGCCGCACCATGCACACAAAAAAAGGCTTCATTGTGAGGATCAACTATGTTTGGTAGGGCCAAGCTCAATAGCTGGAATCGAGAATCCGAATCCGATATTCACAATCAGTAGTTGGTTGTCACGACCAGACACTTGTACGAATTGAACCAAACTTCCTCTTGGTTCTATTCGTACGTGTGTCCGGTCCGGTCGTGACAACAAACTCCTGGTTGGTCGGCATCTGATTCTATCGATTCCAGTTATCGAATTTAGCATACCAAACAGAACTGATCCCCACAACAAAGTCTTTGTTTTTCCGTGCAGAATTCAGATTACGATTATCTTTGAAGAAAACTGAAAGCTAACAACCGCTCCGACCGATATGCGAAATCTTTTTTTTTTCCGAATCGAATTTTGCTCGTATCTGTCACGATAAAAACGGGCTGATGCAGTTGCGAGCGCTCCGAGAATGCGAAAGTGCAAGCTGCAGCGAAAAAAAAAAGAAAATTAGCAGTGTCTTGAGTATACCTTTTGTTTTTCGAAACGCAAGTCTTACACACTTCTTGCGCCAAGTAATCGCATTTTTTTTTGCAAACTTTTCTTTTTTCCTGTATTTGTGTGCGTTTCTTTCTGCAAACCCACGTGGGGCAGCCTGGCCACGCGCGCGGCTTATAGCGGCGTGATAAGAAGACATGGTAGCCTCGACTGCGTCGGACGGGACGCGAGGATAAGATGACCGGCGCGGGATTACCAGCGAAGGGCGTTCGTTGCAAACTGAAAATCACCTCGCTTTATGTTTCGGTCACGCTGGGAAATAACGCAAGTGTGTGAATGTCACACATGTGTGGGTGTGTGAATAATGACAATTCGTACACTTTGAGGGAGTAAAAGGCATGCATTTTTATTTCCTTGAAATTCGCACACTCGTGTGCCTTCATGTGTACGAATGTCGTTCACACACCTACGAGTAGTGTGCGACATTCACACACTTGGGGTATCTGAGTAGTTTCTGTTGGGCAGTGTTCGGAACGGTCAGAGCGGCGGTTCTAATAGCGGTCACCCGCCACACCTATCTCCGCGTCCCGTCCCCGCAGCCATCTCCTCCCATCAGTCCAAACTCGCTTTGGTCATTTTGGGCGTGGCGCGTGGGTGGGGCGGGGCGTAACCGACAGTAACCGCACACAGCGCCCTGGGCCTAGGCGGGCGGCGGTGTGGAGGAGTATAGGGCGGGGCGGGGCGCGGGGCCAACGGCGACCCTGGCAGGGAGGCGGCAAAAAGGTACCCCCCTCCCCCTCCACCCTCCACTCCCCACCTCCCCAGGATGCCCAGCTGATGACGCGTCCCTACGATCTCGATGCCGATTAACGAGTAACGGCCCGCGTCGCCTTTCCGACGCTTTTCAGACGAGACGACTCGCGGTAGATACTGTGTTGTGATGTAAGACGCCGGCGAAAAGATTTCTGGGACCCACCATATGTCGCTGGAGTACCGCCGCCAGGCCCCGAGGACGGGGGGTACTCGTTAAAATTTTTGTGATTTGAAGTGTGAGAGGCTTTTCAGATGATCGACGATCGATGGCAGGCGACGCCTTTGATTTGCCGTCGGCCCGTCCACGCCCAGGTGACCGCTCGCGGTGACTTATCGGATAACGGATCCATTAGGCTGGCGATAGTGCTGAGGACGCGACGAGGAAGCGAGGTACATTAATGGTTTTTTTCTTCCCCTTCGAGTGCCTCCTTCACAAAATCACTTTTGCGCGGTGCACGAGGCCTCGCTCTCGTTGGGGCTGGCGCCGCACGTACCTACCCGGACGCAGGTGCAGAGCGCCGACGGCGGAGGCGTCGGGGGCGGAGAGTCCTGCGAACGGCTGGGCTGGCTGCTCCGGGGGTGGCTGCCGCGGTGGTGGCGGGGGCGCGTTTCCCGACAGACGCTCCAACAGCAGCAGCAGGAGCAGCAGTGGGAGCCGGAGGCCTCGGCAGGGGCGGGGTGGAGGATCCTGGGGCTGGGGTGGTCACCTGCGACGCACGACGACGGGGAGGCTGCCATGGCGTCTCTCCATTCCTTGGTGTTTGAGGAGGCTGTGGAGTAAGGAATACACTGACGAGCGCATGCAGAGTTGTGCATCATCCAAAGTGCTACTACCGAGCACTAGGGTTTTGCGACAGACCCTGTTTGGACAGTCAGGATGAGCGCCTATCAGTGGAGTAATTCAGTATTGTCACCTCGATTGGCACATAAGGGATCATCCATAAAGTAAGCCCGCCATTTCACACTTACGAACGTGCCAAGATCAGCGTTTCAGTTGCAGCGTCTGCAAGGTCGCATAGCGCCTGGTAGATAGGCAATATATGGCCTGCAGTGCATGTGTGTAGTGCGGGGTGGCCTACCCTGAGTCTCGCAGGCGCCAAGCCACCGTAATTTGACGAACGAATCTCAGGAAAACGGACGTACTTCCTGGACGATCTCTTACGTTCGTCACTTTGGTTTTTGTCGACTGCCTTCTTTGCGAAAACCAGAGAAAGCTGACCAACCAACCATGTTCCGACCAGGAAGAAATGTAACGACATAAGAGAGAGAAGTTACTGCTTCCTCCAGTAGGGGGAGATCTCCCTCTGTCTCACTGAAGTGGGAGGGCAGGGCAGCGCGCGGAGCCCCGGCAAAAAAAGGAGTAACCCTTGTAAACTTGTGAACAAAACTTGTAAAGTACTTATTTAAAACATGTAATTGAATCATATAATCCAATTCAACGCAAATGGACTGAACAGTTTACTATAGTTTAATGAGCAAACGGACGAAAAAAAAATGCATAGTTATGATTAGTCTAAGGGTGAGGTCATCTGCTGAATAAGAGCATATGGTTAACAGCGCCAGTCAGGCAGCAGGTGATGTAGGCAGGCCCGGATAATTGCCGATAAGAGTCGACAGCAAATACATGTGTAAATCAATGTGGGGTCACTCGACCACAATTTTATTGATAAGAGCTGATACAGCGAGGGGCTAGTGTATCGGACTACTGCCGCTACCACTGTTGCTGCTGCCACTGCTACTGCTGCCACTGCTGCTATAAGGCGGGACACCCGCTCACTGCCTGATCCACAGGACAAGGGACACGAAAAAAAAGACTTTGCTGTGGGGATCAGGATCAGTTCTCTTTGGTAAGCTAAATTAGATAGCTAGAATCGAGAATCCGATACTCACAAAGCAGGAGTTGGTTGTCACGACCGGACACTTGTACGATTAGAACCATAGAACCAAGCTGGAGTTTGTTCTATTCGTAGAAGTGTCCGGTCGTGGCACCCAACTCCTGGTTGTGGGTATCGGATTCTCGATTCCGGCTATCGGATTTAGCCAACCAAACTACCAAACATAATTGATCCTTACAACTGTCATTTTTTCCGTGGACGTTTGGTGAGGCTCTATGACAATCAGAGACGACACGCACCAAGTCTTGAATATTTGCCATAATTCCATATAGCGCCCCCCAAAATGAAGGGACAAACTTTATCGTCAAAGTAAACGAGTAAATTACTGAAAAGACCCCTGTACGCCTAAAGCCCAGCCTGCGCCCGCGACACAACAGTTTGGCCATAACTTCGTGCACATGCACGGTGCGGCGACAACAGCCAGCCGGCCGGGCGCCGCGCGGCGGGCAGGGCGCCTGCCTATACTAATGCGTTGCCACACAAGTCATTCATCGCTGACCAACAATTAGTGTGGCGGCAGAGGTGTTTTGTCTGGCGGACACAGCAGCGGCGGCAGCAGACTGACGGCTACCGCCTCGAGACCGCTGACCCAGTCATCATGTGACAGTGACGGTGCCGGGCGGTATGTGACTCCCGAAAAAGGTTATTATTGGTGTGAAACAGTAGGGAGGAACTCAGGAACTGTGCCAAGATTTCACGAACGAGACGTGCACACGGCGAGGAGTCGGCGGACTTACCAGAAGGAGATGCAGAGGCGGTGCGAGGAGAGCAGCTCGGGAGAGACTGGGCGCCGCGCTGAGGGATGGTGTCAGGACCCTGGCGACGTCCGAGACGCTTGAGGTGGGTCAGGGACGAGGTGACCCGCGCAGAGCCGATCACCAGATCGGCCGGTGGTTGGTGTCACTTCACTCGTGGTTCCAACACTTTTATTCGATGGCCGGCTCGGTTGAAGTTTTTGTAAGCTCCTTTGGTCCTGGCACTCTATTCAGCCGCTCAGCCCCCCTTGATCTCCAACAAGGGAGTGTATTCTTGCGCTCGGCTGCGGAGTGGGTGTGCTGCGGGGAGGGGCGGTCCCGGAGGTTCCGGAGGATCGACACCGAACTCTTGTGCTCGTCGTGGCTGGCGGGCCGAGCGTGTGGGTCGTGGGCCGAGTCCAGAGACCGCCTGCTAGTGTTCACGACGAGGCGCGACGCGCCAAAAAGCAGCGTCAACTGACCGGCGTGGCGGTATGGTCGCAGGAGTACCCACATGCCGACGCCCGCCCCGCCCCGCCCCACCGCGCCCCGCCCCGCCCCGCCCCTCGCCCCGCCACGGCGCAAGCTGCTCCTCAGACGGGACGCACTGCACGCGGCAGGGAGGGCGGGTGCAGGTCGGAGTGCGAGAGATGGATAGACTGAGCAACAGAGATAGAGCGCGTTCGATTTCTCTATCTATCGCACACTCGAGGCGCGATCCGACCGTCTTAAGGCCGGTCGGCGCGGGCGAAGTCGGATATCTGGCCCCAGGGTGACGGACTCGCGTGATCGCCGTCGAGTCCACGCATAGCGCAGGCCCAGGCCCGGGGACTCCCAAAGGTGCACGACAACGACGTCTTCGAGACCCTCCATTTTCCTCGTGGGGGGCTCTTTTTCGATTGCTGATACGTCTCCGATGCGGCACCTGCAAGTTTATAGGGGGAGAACACACATTACTTGTTGGCCTCTTGTCAGCAAGGAAAACAAGCAACGTGCAGCGGTCGTCACCTATATCCCGCCGAGGCCCGGCGTAGATTTCGCCTCTGGCCATTGAGAGAAGCCCACGAAAAGCTGGTGATGAGATTTTCCATCGGAAGCTCGCCTCTTCTCTGCCTCGCTTCCGTGACGTTGAGGCGCGGTGGGCACCGGCCACGCCCGGCCACGCCACGCGGGTGCAGCCTGGCTGCAGCCGGGCTTCAGCCGGGCTGACTAGGGCAGTCCTGTGAACAAGCGACGGAAAGGTCGGATTGGATCACCGCCGGCTCCGCCCGCCCGGCCACAAAGCAGGGACATACCCGCCGCAGCACCGGCAACTGCAACTGTGGTGCATGGCTTTTCATGGTTGGGAAAACAGAAGGAAAGAAAACATTGGAAAAACGAAGGTGGGACTTAATGCCTTGCTTGGGGTGTTGGATTTTAATATGCCTAAAGGCACGAAGAAAGTGTACAAAAGGCATTCAATTTTTACACCTTCAAGCAGTTTTAATGCCTTTGCAAGGGTGCTAATTTGTAATGCCTTTGTAGTTCATTGAAACCCTTCACATGTTTTGCGTACAAGAAGTTAACAAGTGTTCGAATCTTGGGACGACTAATGAAAGTTACATTCCATACTTTATCTAAACTTAATACTTCCTTCACAGACGCAAGGTGGAATAAACGGTTCCAAAAGACAAAGCCAATTATTTTGTGCGGCCCCTCAACGACATCGCTCGATACATGGACAGTGCACACTACTTCACCACACTGTGTTCAATAACAGTGGGTGGGCCCCCTCTCCAAATAGCGGCATAGGAGCAGCACAACGGGCCGACTCTCCTGTTTGAGCAGCCATGTGCGACGGGAAAAAAGGGTTCAGGAAGGAGAGGGGGGGGG